AGGTGCAGTGTGGTCCCTTGAAGACCTAACACTTGCACGCGCTGCAGTAAGCTTGTTGTGTAACACACTTGTGTGTGCAGTAACATGAGGAAACGGCGAACGCCACAGCATCTCCTGCCGAGCGACGAATTTTCAGCTTCTTGATAGTTGCCGCTCGACGCCATGTCTTCTTCTCAGCCGATGCCGCGCAAGGCGCCGCCGCAGATGCCGCCTGCGGCAGCCACCCCAGCTCCGTCGGACCAAGGACCAAGGACTTCTCTTGGCGGTCGCCAATTTTCGCGCCGTTTTGGAGGCGGGTCATAGCGGCGGCTGGGAGGCGTGGAAGACACTGGCGGAGCAGATGACGGTCGCCGACAGGACTGCGCTGGCAGAGTTCACTTCGGCGCTCCTGGTTGTGCCGCCGGCTCACCCACCTAGCCCCGCCGAGCTGGCGGAGAGGATGAGAGGCATCTTGCCGGCCACTGCCGCGACCGGAGGGGAGGTCGCAGCGCCGAGGACCTCGAGCACCACCTTGCCGACGAGCACGCCGTTCACCCCGGGCACGCCGTCTACGGCACGACCGACCTCATCGACGGCTACCATGGGGGCACCGCCGTCGTCTTGGGCGGGACAGGTGGCGTGGCAGCCCCCGACCATCGTCCTGAGCCGGCGTCTTCCTGGATGCGCTGCTTTCCTTCGCGCCGGGACAGCCACGACGGAGGCGTGGCGCCGGGGCACTGACAGGATGGCGGCAGAGTCGGCGGCCCACTCGGAGGTGCAGACGCCGGGGTGGTCATCGAGATTGACGCAGATGGTCGCCGACGCAGAGTTCCACCTCGAGGCGCCCAGCACAGACCATCTCGTCCTGCCTCGCCGCCCTCCAGGATGCCGGGGGTTGGGAGCCAGGCGCCGCAGACGCCGGCCCACAACTATGCTATCCACTCGCCGCGGTCCGTGTCCGCTGCGACCCAGGCGACGAGGTCCTGAACGAGACGGCAGGTTGGCTATGTCGAACCACAACAACGCCGACCCGGACTTCGACCCGAGGGCCACGCCGCAGCAGCAGCCGCCGGTGGCGCCGGCCAGGAGGTCCATCTTCCCCCCCATCGACGAGGCCCGCGCCGAGCAGCAGCGCAGGAAAAGAGCAGAACGCCGGGGCGGCGAGCGGCCGGCCACAGCCAACGACCCCCCGCCGCCTGAGCCGGTCCAGGACTACCCGCCGTTGGTGGCGAGCCGGTTCCCTGGCCTGGGTGCCAGCCGCGCCGGTGATGTCGCCGCTGTCTTCGGTTGCATTCACGCCGGCTACAAGGGCACCAGCACAGCCACCGCGGTCTTCGACTACAGCTGAGCCGGAGCCGGAAAGGACCACACCCAGGCGCCGTTCGGTGGAGCTCCCACCCACTCCGCCCTTTAGGGCCTTTTCGGCGGACGACGCA